TTATTTTAATCTTCAGATCCTGCAACAGATTCAAAATCCACACAGCTTGGCATGCAGTAACAGCACCTGCAATGTATTCAGCTTCACAGGTTGATAACGCCACAACAGGTTGCTTCTTGGAACACCAAGAAATGGGACCTCCCAGAAATTTGAACAAGTACCCAAATGTACTTCTTCTGTCAACTTTGTCTCCACACCAATCAGAATCTGAATAACTCAGAAGTTCTGACTCATCCTTTCTTCCAGAAGGAAACAACACTTCATACTTCAGAGTTCCCTTGATATACCTCAGAATCCTGACAACAGCTTGGTAATGGGACCACTTAGGTTTACTCATGAACCTACTAACCATCCCAACAGAATAGCAAATATCAGGTCTGGTATTGCACAGATACCTCAGAGAACCAACCAACTGTTTGAAGGTTGTAGCGTCCACATCCTTTCCATCAGAGTCAGAATCCAGTTTCTGATTTGTATCAGAAGGTGTGACAGCAATCTTACAACTTTTCAGTTCAAATCTCTTCAGAAGTTCTAATTCATACTTGAGCTGATGCAAAATGATACCTTTCTCAGAATATCTGAACTCCATCCCTAGAAAGTATGTCATTTTGCCTAGATCAGTCATTTCAAACTCATTCATCAGAACTTTCTTGAACTTGGCTATCTCCTGTTCAGAACTTCCAGTCAATAGTATATCATCAACATATAAACATACCAGAGTCATATTGCCTTCAGAAGTATGCTGAACATAGACACCGTACTCCATCTCACATTTCTGAAAGCCTTGCTTCTTGAAAAATGAATCAATCTTCTGATTCCAAGCTCTGGGCGCTTGTTTTAGTCCATATAGAGCTTTGTATAATTCAGCCCAGGTTTCTGTAGAAATCCTCTGGCTACCAACCTTGCTTTATGTTTGCCAATTGAACCATCTGGCTTTAACTTCTGCTTGAAAACCCATCTGACGCTGATGACTTTCTTATCTTTTGGAAGTTCTGTCAGCTTCTAAGTCTTGTTTCTCTCTATAGCATCAAGTTCTTCTTTCATGGCCTTCATCCAGAGCTTCTGCTTAAGAGCCTCTTCTGTACTTATGGGTTCAGAGTCTACTATCATGGCACACTGAATAACTTCTCCTTCAGAGTCTACTTCAGTGTCTTGCAGCATGTCAAATTCTGCATATCTTCTGGGAATGTTTCTGATTCTTTGTGGTCTCTGAACTTGTTCAGAGTCTTGAGCTTCAGAGTTTCTAGCTTCAGATGATTGACTTCCTCCAGAGTCTTGACCATCTTCAGAGTCTGGCATATTTCCAGAGTCTGAATTGCCACCAAAATCTGGATTGCCATCAGAGTTTGGATCATCAGAGTCTGAATCATCAGAGTCACCTTCATCTTCTGAGTCTTCTCCAGAGTCTGAATCACTATCAGAGTCAACGTCGAAATTTACTCCAACTTCAGAAATTCTTAACTCTGACCTTTCTTCAGAAGTTCTAACATCAAAGTCAGATTGAGACTTATCCCAATTCCAAACTTCTGATTCCTTCACAATCAAATCTCTGCTGAATTCAATTTTATTGGTTTCTGGACAATAGAGCTTGTATGCACCTGTACTGTGGTACCCTATCAGAATCATCACTTTGCTTCTATCATCCAGCTTCTGTCTTCTGGAACATGTTTATAGCAAACAGAACCAAACACCTTTAGATGACTAACACTTTGCTTATCTCCAGTCCACTTCTGTATTGGAACTATTTCCTTCAACTTCTTCGTAGGACATCTGTTGAGTACATACGTTGCAGTGGCAACAGCTTCTCCCCAGAGCTTTTGAGGAAGCTTCTTCTCCTTTAGCATGCTTCTCACCATATCAAGCAAAGTTCGGTTTCTTCTTTCAGCAAGACCATTATGTTGAGGGGTATAAGGAGCAGTAACCTCATGCTCAATTCCATTCTCCTCACAGAACTTCTGGAACTCTTTGGAGTTATACTCACCTTCACCATCAGTTCTAAGAATCTTCAACTTCTGACCACTCTGATTCTCAGCCTTCATTCTGAACTTCTTGAGTTCATCAAACACCTCATGTTTAAACTTAATAAGGGATACCCATGTCATTCTTGTGAATTCATCAACAAATAACACAAAGTATTTATTCCCTCCAATTGATGCTACTGGAAATGGACCACACACATCAGAATGTACAACTCCCAAGGCATGTTTTGCTCTTGGAGCAGCTTCTGACGCAAATGGAAATCGTGGTTGTTTTCCTTCCATGCAAACTTTGCATGACTTTTCAGGCTTCTTAATTGCAGGAATTCCATGTACCAACTTCTTTGAATTCAGATGTTTTAAGCTTCTGAAATTCAAATGACCAAATCTTCTGTGCCACAGCTCACTCTCCTTCTCAGCACTTGTTGCACTAAGACATTCTGAGTCTGCAGTTCTGACATTCATCTTGAATGTTCTATTCCTTCCCTGTTCTGACTCCATAATCAACTTCTGATTGCAGTCATACAGCTTCAGAAGATTGTCCTTCATGGTAACTGAAAAACCTTTCTCAATTAATTGTCCCACACTCATCAGATTGCTTCTGATGTCAGGTACATACCACACGTTCTGAATCAATGTTGTTTTCCCATTGTTCAGAATCACTCTGACATTTCTCATACCTTCTGCAGTAAGATATTTGTCATCAGCACATCTGATCTTTGTTCTCTTTTCAGAGTCAAAGTCAACCAGCCATTTCTTGTTTCCAGTAAGATGATTTGAACAGCCAGTGTCCATATACCACCAGTCTATCAGATCCATATTATCAGATTCAAAGGCCATCAATAGCACAAATTCGTCATCAGAACTTCTGGATATATTTGCTTCTTCTGATTTTTTCTCCTTGTTTAACCAACAATTTCTAGCAAAGTGACCAAACTTCTTACAACAGTAACATTGGATCTTCTTCTTGTCATACTTCTCTTTTCCCTTCTGAGCATTCTTTTGTCTATCAGAGGTTGAGCTTTCTGACTTCTGACCACCATCAGATCTTCTCCTGGCTTCTGACTATTTCTGATACCTCCTATCAGAAGTTGCTTTCAGAGCCTGCTGCTCTACTTCCTTTTCAGAAGTTCTCTCAGTCAAACGCAACTCTTGCGCTTCTAGACTGCTCTGTAGCTCTTCAATTCTCATGGTGCTCAGATCTTTGGAATGTTCTATTGCTACCACAATGTAATCAAATTGAGGGGTAAGGGATCTTAATACTTTCTCCATGATTGCTTCTTCAGAAAGAGTTTCTCCACACGCTTTCATCTCATTAGTGATCAGAATCATTCTGGAGATGTATTTAGAGACTTTCTCATTATTCTTCATGTTGAGATTCTCATATTGCTTTCTCAAGGACTGAAGCTTCACCTTCTTCACTGATGCGTCACCACCATAACATCTCACCAGTGTGTCCCACGCAGCCTTTGTTGTTGTTGAATCTGCAATCTTCTCAAACACATTTACATTCACACATTGATGAATGAAGAACAATGCTTTCTGATCCTTCTTCCTTACTTCCTTCTGCGCGTTTTTCTGTTCATCTGTTGTATTTGCTGCTACTGGAACATAACCATCAGTGACAAGATCTAAAACATCTTGAGCACCAAACAGTACACGCATTTGGATCATCCAACGGTTCCAGTTTTTACCGTCAAATACTGGAAGTTTGGTGTTCATGTTGCCGTTTTCGTTCATCTTCTACCTTGCACAATACACTCTGATTTCTCACACAGTGTTTCCCAACTCACAGAATTAAAAAATTCTGATCAGATTTTGTTCAAGATTCAACACGAATCTAAGAATCAAAATCAAACACACAAGACCTCACGTTCACTCGTGTTTCCCGTGTTTCCCAATGAATCCAAACCGGAGCTCTAGATACCAATTGTTGGTGCAAAGGTAGAATAAATGATGAAAAGAGAAATATTCTATTAAGAGAATGGCGGCTACACACTCTACTACAAATAGCAATGATTGCAACCCTATTTATAAGCTAAAACTAGGGTTACTATAATAGGATAAAATACTAAAATACCCTCTAACAAATTTAGGGGCTAAGAAAATAGTACTACTAATATGAATTACTTCTAATAAATATATGACCGGGTTCCAATATGAAATTCTCTGATGTTTGTCTCCAATCCTTAAGTCCAAAAACTTAAACGAGACCTTCGCATTCTTGCAAGCGAGAAACTATTTTGCCGCTTTCATGAAGTTATCCTCCATAAAGCAACTTATACAAAATATTTAAGCGAAAATGCCACGTGTATCTATTTCAATAGTAAAAATGTTCAACTCCAAAACTTATAAATTCTAATGTGCATTAAGCAATCTTTATTATAGATTATCTTATTCTCTTTAAAAAATAAATGAAACCTTGGTGTGCGTGAGTGACCATCATAAATGATAAGATTTAATTGATTTTGATAATAAAATTGCATGTTTACGATAAACTCAATTCATTGAAATTAAAATCTAAATATAATGAATAAACAAATATATCAAATTCGATTCAACTTTGTGTATACCATAGTTAAAATTATTTGAATTTAAAATAGAAAAATTTTAATTTCGTAAATAAATTAAAATATGAAACAAAAAATGTAATAAAACTTTATAAAAATACATAAATAAAAAATTATTTTTATTATATTAAAATATATAATTAATATACCTTACAAAAGTTAAAAGTGACTTACATTATTTAAAATCATACTTTTCCAAACAATCAACTATTGTGGAATAGTAGAATACTAAAACAGTATGGACTTATCTTCACAATTCGTTAATTAAAAATTTTTTTTTCTTGGGTTTGACTGGCTGTTGTTAATTTTGTTGAACTGTGCAGGGTATCATCTATTCCAAAGAAGCTTTATCTTTTTCAAACAAAAATAGTTAAACCGACTGTAATTAAAAGATGTAAGAAAACTAATGAATGGACTTTTTATTTAACGAATGATATTTAGAATAACATTATACTCAACTTTCTTTCCTTTTTCTACATTTTTGTTTTGATGAAGAACCAGATGTGGAATCATCAAGACCAAAACATTTGAGAAATACTACTGTGGCTAATTGAAAAAAATTGCAAGGGTGGGAACTCAGTTTTGAAGACTCTTCCTCCTCCAAAAGCTCTTCGCTTCTCATGCTTGAACATGTTTCTATCTCATCTTTAATACTTAGATTCTGCACACCCTGTTAAAACACCCAATGTATGTCATTAAATCACCTACCTCAAATTATAATATGGACAATCTTTTAATGCATGACTTATTTGATAAATATTTATTTATTTAATATTTATAATTCAAAAATGATTGAAAGAATATTTCATATGATATTTTATAGAGAAGCCACTTTTATTCTGCCGCCACACAAAACTATTAGTTTGACTCCAAGCCCTCCATCTTTCTTGACCTTGCAAACTTTAGACCAACAGACCCAATTTATTTTTTCCATCTCTTCATCACCTCCCCATGAAAAAGTTCTTTGCAATTTGCTAATCACTCGTATCACTATCATTGGTGCTTTATAGAAAGAGATTTAAGACTGAGTTTAACAACACAACCCTTTCACCTATAGACATTTGTCTCCTCTTCCGCATTGAAAGTCTTCCTCTAAGCTGGGCCAAGATAGGGTTCCAATGAATTGGTTAAATTTGGGTTCGACCCGCTCCACAACCACTCCTGGTAAAACTACATTGAGTGCCATACAGCTAAGTGAATTTCCGGAAAAGTAAAGAAGTGTGGATGCTTTCAATTTCTTAACTTCTTAACTCTTCTGCTTAAAGCAAAAGAGTTAGAAATTAGAATCCCACCCCTCTTTTTATTATTGGAAATATTTTTTTCAACAAGACACCAATTTCTTATTTGCCTAAAATAAGCAAATACCATGGTTTGGATAAGAGGGCCAGTGTCGTGGCTCCACTTACATTTCCTAATTCAGACACCACCGCACTTTGAAAAGATAAAATCCAGTAGAAGAATTATTGGATGCATAATAATGATCTTAAAATTATCCTTACATAATTTTATTTATTCTCTCCATGGAGTGTAACAGCTAGTTAATAATATTAATAATATTTTAAAAAGTGAAAAAAAAAATCTATGTTTAGCCAAATACTTGAATTTGTTTGAGTAGAGGTGGAATTAAAATTAAAATTCAAAAAATAGAAATAGTAAAACCAATAAGATAGAAAAAGTAGGTGAAATAAAACTAACCTTCATAGTAATATCGTGGTGTTGACCGTTACTTGAAACAGGGGTAATTGAGTCATTATTGCCTGTTAACAGTGGTTTGTCAATCCGTTGAATCTCCTCGAAACGGAAGCTTTTAGAAGGGACGGAGGAAGTTTCCGGCGAGATGGAAGCGGAGACGGAGGCGTCTTCATCGTCAGAGATTGTGAAACAATAGAAGAGTGCAAAAAGAAGAAAGAGAACAATTAGTTGGATCCAAATCAGCCATGGAATTCGAAAGCTCCCTCCTGCGAGCTCGTTAAACATGTTAATTAATCTCTTAACATGAAATTTGAATTTGAATTTGATGAATAATAATGATTAAGAATTATGAACGGAGAAAAAGAAGAAAAAAAAGTGTGAAGGTTTTTTGTGTAGGGAGAGAAAAAGAAGTAGGAGAAATTTTGGTGTGGTGGTGAAGTGAAAGAAACGTTAAGGTTCAGAATAAGGAAAATGAAAGGATAGAATACATAAATTAAAGTAGTTAAAAGACACGTAGGAAATTACACGCGTCACGCGTCTTACAACGCGTGGTTGGCAATTTGCAAGTGCTTTAAACCTTTTTAAAAAACAAGAAAGAAAATGATGGGTAGCTGGATCCTAGTGTGCTTCACGTGTAGTTAGTTGAGGTCGAAATCGGTGTGCGTGACGGTAACATGGAAACTACTTTTTTTATTTTTTGGGTTGGGTGAAGAAAGGTTAATTTCTTTTATCAACAAATATTATAATCCATGATTTGTATATTTGTGTCGGTTGGCTGAACTTGCTCATGTTTATATAATAGTAATAATTTAATAATAATAATAATAATAATATAAACTAATCAAACAAGTATTAAGTTATTGGGTATTTAGATGTATTAAGGGTAGGGCTGGAAATGAGTCGAGTCGAGTCGAACTCACCTCAGCTCGGCTCGACTCGTTAAGAATTGTTCGAATTCGAGTTCGAGTTCGAGTTCGACACGAACTTTTTTTTAAGCTCAAACTCGACTCGTTATAAGTTCACGAACAGTTCGGTTCGACTCGTTAGGTTCATCTCATTAGGTTCATCTCACATGGTTCACGAACTTAAAAACTATTTTTTAGTATATTTGACATTTTAAATAAATATATTTTTTTTAAATAAAATATTAAAATAAAATAAAAGTTATCATATTGAAATTTAACTTTATCTTTGAAATCTACTAATTCAAAATCTACACAACTTTCAAGAGATACATTTGAGAGTCTAATTCAAAAACTACTAAATTGAAGATTAAATTTGTCTAAGATTTGAAGTAAATATTTAAACCTAATCTTAAAGACAGTATAATTCTTTTCATATGTAACCGAGTTGACTCATGAACCTAACGAGTCGAACTATGTATAGTTCAAGTTCAGCTCATTTAGTTAACGAACTTAATTTTTCGCTCATACTCAACTCATTTGGTTCATGAACCTAGTTCAACGATTTAATTGTCGAGTCGAATTCCGAACTATCTTCGAGTTGGTTTGGTTCATTGCCAGCCCTAATTAAGGGTTAACTCACATGGAATTGTGAAAAGTTTTATATACGATTTTTTGAAAAAAAGATTAGAGAGTCTTTCCCATTTAGAAAATAGGGTATATATAAAAGCTATTTTAGTTCTGGAGTGAAGAGTCATATGGTGGTTTTTCATTTCATCTTTAGAAAATGTGGCAAAGGGAGGATTTGTTCTCCCTTATTCTAATAGAGATAGTTTTTGTTCAATTGATTGTTTTCTCTGGTCTTATATTGCTTTGACACGACATTACTCACGTTCATTACGTGGGTGGGCACTGGAAACCTATTTCGAGTAGCTGCTATTTTGGATTTTTGACTTAAATATAAGTGGCAAGTAAGACAAATAAGTATGTTACGGTGAAAGTTAAATTTAAATATGATAAATAAAAACCATGAAATGACTTGAATTGGGCGTGTCAAAAGTCATGTGTGGCAATGATGGTCGAAGTAGTTGAAGGTCGAAGAGTGTATACAATTTGGACTTAATAAAAGTTTCAAGTGTTCTAGCTGGTTATTTTGCCTGATGGAAAGAACAGGAATTTGGACTTTGTAAACATAGTCTGTAAATCTCAAATTTGTTTGAGTGGTTACCTTGAGCGACTAGGGTTTAGTCTATATACTCGAAAAGGCAAAGACAGTTGTCTTTGTAATGTCTGTAATCAGTTTGTTTACAGTGGATTAAGTCCTTATTGAGAAGGTGAAATCACCTTAGTAGGGTGGATTAGAGGTAGCTTAGTTAACAATGAACCGATATAAAAATAACGTGTTATTTTATTGTTCATATTGTTGTGTATTGAATTGGTTTTGAAAAAACTTTGATTTTTAGAAGCTCAATTCAAACCCTCTATTTCTTGCGTTTCTTACCATCTTCAATTGGCATCAGAGCTCCAGTTCTGATTTTAATAAGATTATCAAACACCTAGCAGTGTCAGATAAAGATCCAGTGTGAAACACAATGGCTTTCATTCCACCTCTAGTTGTTCAAACAAATGATAGAGATCACTATAATGTTAAACCTTATGTTTTTTATGGAGACATATTTGATTATTGGTAGAACAGAATATAAGGTTTCTTTCTAGGTCACGGTGTTGATCTATGAGACATAGTAGTTGATGGCCACATGCACCCAATAGATGCAAGTGGCAACAAAATTGAAAGAAGAGTGATGACAGATCAATAGAAAAATGATTACAAGAATCATCACAAATGAAAAACCATCTTGCTAAATGCTATTTCATACACTGAGTATGAAAATATCACCAACAGAGATACTACTAAATTTATATTTGATTCTTTGAGGATGACGCATGAAGGGTACACACAAGTCAAAGAAACCAAGGCTCTTTACCTTGATTCAAAAATATGAAGCGTTCAAGATGGAGGACGAAGAAATTGTTGAGAACATGTTCTCAAAGTTTCAAACTCTTGTCGTAGGGCTTAAGATTCTGGATAAAGGGTATTTTATTGTTGATCATGTCAAAAAGATCATTAGAAGTCTTCCTAAGCATTGGAGACCAATGGTAACTGCTATGAAGTTATCAAAGGACCTCAGCAACACCTCTCTTATATAACTGGTTAGTTCCTTAAAAAGACATGAGGTTTAGCTCGAAGAAGATGAGCCCAAGAGAAAAAAAAACAAGTTTGTGTTTGCGCAGATTTTTGACGAACAATCTCTATCCTCTTATTAAAGGTTACTTGAAGGATCGACTACAAAATCCTAGACTTAGTGTTAAGTATAGAATGGGTATTTAAGTGTTTGGATTTGAAATGGTAAACAAAGAATTGAATGAATTTGTGTTCGTGCAACTCAAATAAATAAATGAGAAAAACAAGACAAAAACTAGAAAGGAAAGTGAATTGGAAAAGAAACTTATAAAGTAAATTGCTCAAATATAAGTTAGACGCATGTATACCTTTGTGTAGAAATAACCCACTTCTCTTAGACACTGGTACTTTTTGTGTTTTCTTTGCAATGTTACAAAATGCGACCTCCTTGAGCTGAAACTAAATTCTACTTAAATAGGCATAAAAAATAGGTGTTGTTTTGCTGTCGGCTATTCAAAGCCCTTACCAGGACCCTCTTTGTGTAAATCTTGGTTGACTTCTACAGCCATATTTTCCATTTCAGCCTCCAAGTCCATTTGTATCTTATTTTCGGCTATGTAAGCTGAAATCTTTTTTAGCACCTCGAATTCACTCATCATCACCGAATTCGCTTCCCCAACCTCTTGGGGTTATCCCAGATACACCAAGATATGGCAGGTTGTCATCTCCTACCACTTCTTTGTCCCATCGAAAGCCCTGGACGGGATGCAGATACAACGAACAATAAACATCGTCATCTGGGATGAAAGCAAAATTGGTCGGATTGCATGGAGCAATGTTGGCCAAGTGTTTGTCGAAACTGCGTCTGTCGACATGGTTGATTGGGGCTTTAAAATAGCCTTGATCTGCCTCAATATTTTCGATGATGCCATTTGGATGCCATATCGTGATTCTCTAGTGCATGGAAGACGGTACAATCCCAACTCCGTGTATCCACTCTCGATCCAATATCAAGTTGTAGTTGAATTTTGTTTCGACGACCATAAAAACAGTAGGCCTTGTAACAATCCCCACTGTCAGATCAACTTTTATAACACCTAAAGTGGTGCCCACATTTCCCTCATAATTGGAGAGCACCATGTTATGAGGCTTGGTATCTGTGTCGTGCTTGCTGATTCTTCTCAGCATGAAGTGCGACATTAGATTCACCGTAGCGCCACAGTCAACTAGAATTTTGTTGACCGCGACATTCTCTGTAACACCCCCTTCTATACCCCAAAACAATGCAATTAAACACTTAATCACATATACAAAATTCATCAGAGTATATTTATAACATGGTATAAAAGAGGCGCATCACATTATTCACGAAACGACAACATAAATAATAATGTTCATAAAGAGATAAAACAAAAGGGGTAAATCTCAACTAAAAGTAAAGCATAACTCTTAGAGTCCACATATCAATGTTTTGATTAAATCGGAAGACTAGAACATTGAATTACTTAAGACATGATATAATAGAAGTACACATCATCAAGTTGTTCATAGTATCATTCATATTTTACAAACATCATCAGCTGATACATATACAATGTATCACAAAAGAATACTCTACAAGCCTAACTACCCGATGTTACATATCAGAGCAACCGACTCAAAAGAATGAAGCTATACTTCACCAAAAAAAAACCTCCAGCAATCCTAATCTGCAATGCCTCATAGAGCATTATAAAACAGCAGAAGGGTGAGAAATATTATCATAATAATTAATGCATATAATTATATACATACATAACATAAAACATACATACATTACATTATAGTACATTTCTCACCACAATTCATTTTAACTCATATACATAGTCCACACGCAATCATTTTTCATATAATAATGACATTCATGTTATGTGACTCAATACGACTCAATGCAAACGTATGCCATGTGGTACCAACACTTGTTATCTTTTTTCGGTTTACATTAAACCGAGTCCACTCTTCTAGACCGATAACCACCAAAAGCCGTCCTCTAAGCTTTCAAACCCATTCTTCTAGGCTTGGTACAAGTCACTAGTCTCCACGAAACTAGCAAGCATTGCCTCTTGACTAAGTGATGCATATGCAATCAACAATTCAATGCACTTAATACCGACATCTTAATCTCATGCATTCAAATAATTCATCTCTTCAAGAATTATCAC